TAACTTAAAGATACATTATGAGAGATTAGATAAAGAGCTGGCAGTTCTCACTATATAATAGTTAAAAGCTAGATAATGTAAAGGGAATTAGCTGAAAATTTCAGTCAAATTGATCCACTCTGAACCGTGAATTAGTGATTGAAATTTCGGCCTAGCTTCGATCATCATTATTAAAGTCGGTACATAAAAAACATAGTCTCAATTATCCATTTCATGATTAAATGGCTAGCGATGACATCAAGAGTTGATTATTAATGTGTGCGTTGAGTGTTTTGAAGACAAATTGTCATCAATGAGAATTCCTTGGTGTGACTGACTAGGCTTTTATAATATTTATATTACTTGTACTAAAAAAATATTTATACAGTACAGCTGGACAGCAACCCACTAAAGTTTGCCTCAGTAAATCTGCCAATAGTTACATATGTGGTACTGTTCATGTATTTTACAGTGAATATTAAAATATCAAAATTTTGAATCAATAATACACATATTATATTATTAGTTTATGGCAACATTACTGGTAAATATATTTTCTAAAAATATGTGTAGGTCATACTAACAGTAATTCAACTACTGTAGATACTGATCAACATAAATATTTACATTATTAAAACTTGGATGTCTAGATTCTTCACTACAAGTACAGAATGACATTGGATTGAGTCATTTCAGTGCCTTGTCATCACAATACTTTGGCATTTTTGAGACACCAACATATAGTTTGATTTCTATGGTTACTTGTACAATGGGGTGGGGGTGGGGGGCTGGACAATTGCATTTCAACATTATCTTACAGTGTCAAGAGTTCTTTTACATACTTGCTGTTGTGTCAACATGTGAACTGGACACTTTCTTTGGGCAAATACTGGTAATTTAAATTATTTATGATAAACATGAGAATCTTAAGTTTTTTGGAGTGTTATTTTGTAGATATGTGTGCACAGTGCACATTATACATCTGGTTAAAATAATTGACTCATTGTGCATTTATGATCATTTCTTGGCTTTGGACCAAATATGTCAATTTTTGTTACATTATGAATCACTGATATGTACACACTTGTACATGCATTTGGTTTATCTTATATTGAATCATCAGTAATTATATAATTACATGCATAATATCCTCATTTTTAGCTATTTTGATTTGGTTTATTCACTTGGCAGTCCTCTATATACACTGTACTTGTTTTAGAAAACAACTTATACAGGTGTTCAAATTAAACAGTGGTTACAAATGGGTTTGTCTTTACTAGAATAAAATTTGTAGACCATGATGTCATTTGATTGATAAAATGTGGTGATTTGTAACGAACCATGGTATGGTACTATCATTAGATAAAGGCACAATCCTACAGACCAAAATATAAATGCAGACTGTCAGAAGATAGACAATAAAGTGTAGTAGTACCAAAAAGTTTAATTACAAAAAAAAAATTTCATATCAGTCAATCCTAATAGAAATTATTGTTATCTGAGTTTTTCTAGATTTAATGCCACCATTTTTCTCCCCATATTACAAATCGACATCTTAACAATAATTCATTTATATCCACAATCTCTGAAAATGACATCTATCCTATTTTGCATGATTTTAATTGGCTAGGATACATGTACTACATGTACCAGTGTACCAGTATCCAAAAAGCAGTTTTAAGTCTTTTAATTTTTAAAATTTAGATAAGGTAAAAGATTTGCTTGTCTACTTTTCTTAATTTGGAAAGTTTGGTACATGTTTGTTTGACGAGAGGAATGTTATGTTGAAGTAAATTCATGCTGCATTGATCTTCTGACGAAGCAGCAGCAATTAGGACATAGTCTAAGAAACTGAGAAAAAAAAAGTTTGAAGAAATTTAGTTTGTAAGTTTATGATTAGCTTGTATACATTGCATTAAAAAAAGTATACTTGTATACCGGTTCCGTAAATTCTCAAAAAATTGATCTGTGAAGAAATTCTAAGATTAATATGATTTTGAATACCAGTGCTTGTTGCCAATCTCCACCTATTAAATTACTGGCTTATATAATCGGTAAATAATTTGATTGTTATATTTGACAGATTATAATCAAAGTTTTTGCTTGTTATTATGAGAGTTCTGTGTTGTTATAGGTACTAGACTATTGACCATCTGAGAGAGTATCTTAATGGTTAGACTAATGCTTGAGTGAACAATTATTGGAAAGAAAGAGTGTGGAAGCTATGTGTGGGCTGTGAAATGTGTTGGATCTAGGTTGGAAAAGTAATTACCATGAGGCTTAACATAGATGAACAATAATAAAGGATATTGACAGTATTTGCCTGAAGAAAAGAGTTGAAGCAATTTATGAGGGAATCAGCTATTCTATGTGTATGTTACATGTTACAGTCCATGTATGTCAGTCAGTTGTTGATGAGATTGATCTTGTAGAAGAAAATGTCAAGTATAAAGTTAAATACTGATCCCATTGATCTTACCTATCAAACAGGATATATATAAAACTAGATTATTTATATACCAGTATTATTATAGTATTAGTATAATACAAGCCAACACAATTCTCAAGTACAGCTTTTGAAAAATCAATTTCTTAAATTAAGTGACGTTATCGAGAGACAAGAACAAGTAGCATGTAGCATAGCTTAAAGGGTTTGACTTTTTGAATATACTCCAGCCAGACCATACACAATGAAACATAGCCTTACTGATTAGAGAACCCATAGTTCAAATCAAGTCTCCCTTACTTTCTATTGATTCTATGCATCCATCCAGTTTTTCTCTAACTTAAGATTGTTTATAGAAACCAGAAACTAACTTACCTGTACGTTTTTTTTATATTTATTCATTTAGATATATATAGTTGGGCCCAATTTATGCGTTTAGCGCCCAAAGGCCACAATTCTGAATGGATTATCTTGTAACTTGGTATACTTATTCCTTATACACTAAGGATGGCAGCAACTATTGATTTTGGTGCAGCATGATCCCCCCCCCCCCCTCCACGCACACACAACTTTGGGCTGTGCCACGCCAATTTTTGTTAATATTTTGTCTGTAAATGATATAGGCTGAAATTGTTAACAGATTTGGTTGTAATTCGGAATGATCCATCATAGGGTTGTACCTACTTATATCAATCATTTCAATAACAGGGTTGTACCTATTTATATTCCAAATCCACCCCCCAGGGGCAGAGCCACACCCAATTTTTGTATTATCATCTACAGGCTACAATTCTGAATGGATCATCTTGGAACTTTGCATATTTATTCCTTGTACCGTAAAGACAGCAACTATTTATTTTGGTGCATTCCCCGACCCCCTGGGGCAGTGTCACATCCACTTTTTTATACGTCCACATTGAAATGTGGTCGTAAATTGTCGCCCCCAACCATCCTTTAGTCTGGCATCCACAGTTGCTTGTGGATGCTCTAGAGGCTAAAATTAATATCCGATTGACTTTAAATTTATACACACTGTTTAAGATCATGAGACGAAGAAGTCTGTTGATTTTCACTGATTTCCGATAATTACTGCTAGAGTTATGGCCCTTGATCATTTTGACAAATTTTTCGAATGGCACACTAAGAAAATTTCTTACTAAAGAAGCCAGCTTTTTTTTGAATGGCATTCTAAGAAAATTTCTTACTAAAGAAGCCAGCTATTTGACTGATGAAATTCAAAACACTGCAATAAAGTAAGTTCATAGCTGTGTCTATGACTAGTCTGTGTCTACGGTTGTATGCCGTCATGTTTTTATTTTACAAATTTCAAATATTTTTCATATATATTTAGCCAGGTGTGCCACTATTTTTTCATGTGTTCCAAGGTGTGCCATTGGAAAAAAGGTTGAGAGCCACTGCTCTAGAAAGTTAATATGCGATTGACTTCAAATTTATATACAATGTTTGAGGTTGTCAGACTAAGAAGCCTATTGATTTTCAATTATTTCCGATAATTACTGCCAGTGTTATGTCTCTTGATCACTTTGAAAAATCTTGTGGGTGCTTTAGAGACCATAGTTATCATCTGTTTGATTTTATATTTATACGCCGTGTTTAAGTCTATATATAGAATCGTTTTGATTGACTTTAGATTGATACAGTGTTTAAAGTCTTGAGACGAACAAGTTTATTGATTTTCAATGAATTTTGATAACTTGAAAGGTAAATCCATGATATTAAATGTTTTGTATACTAAACGTTACCATGAGCCAAACAAATTCTAATGTTTTTCTAATAATCACTTAATTACTTGAATCAGATTTCAGTGTATTATAAATGTTTCATTTCCGACAAAAGTAAAAATATGCAACAACTCTTGTTGACAGCCTGGTCGTATGTTTCATTGTCTGGCAACCTATCTTTAACTATTATAGTTAGAAGTGCCAGCCCTTTATCTAATCCTTTAATCATGATCTAAAGGGAATTCTTAAGCAAGTGCAAGTTGTAATTGATTGACTCCAAATCAGCCTACCAATTAAAAGCTGTTATACAAAAATGTTTCATTTGATTGACTGTTTAATCATAGTCAGAAGTGATTAATTTCATGTATGTTGTTGTCGCTGGTCCAGAATGCTCTTTTAATAAGTCTTTTCTTAAATAATATGAATATGTTCGATATTCCTGTGTAGTAGGGTGACCAACAGAATAAACAGAATGCAAATAAAGTAAACTGTTAATAAGATTGTATACAGATGTGACGTCATCTTTTGAGGTTTGGGTACCTTTGTTTCAAATGTTGGTACAGGCAACATGCCAGTCATACCTTATTTATACAAGGTACCAGAAATATTGGATTTGTGTGATGATTTCATAGAAATGCACCAGTGGTTTTAAGGTCTTGAGCAATGCATTTCAAAATTATAGATAGCACGCTCAGGCTAAATGCTCTTGTGTCGTATCAATATATCAATTAATCTCTCATTCTCAACCTGTAAACCACACTTAGTAAGTGGACGTGATAAAGCTTTGTCTATGATTAGAATTTGAATCAGTACAAAATAATGTTTTATTTCAGTTTTACCTACAAGATACTAAAAGTAGTAATGGAACTTTTGTTAATAACCAGAGATTATGTAAAGGTGGAGAGGAAAGTCCTCCCAGGGATATTTTCTCTGGAGATCTTATCCAGTTTGGAGTGGATGTTATGGAAAACAACCGTAGAGGAGACAAAAGTAAGGTTATTAGATAGATACATAATAATTCTTCATTATACAAGTAGCACACAAAACCTTTTAGGAAGCTGGATAAACTACTATGTTTATGTTTTAAGTATTTCATAATGTTAAATTAGATTTTAATAAAATGCCATTTGATATTAATTAGTATTAATACATACACATGTACATGTAAATCAAGGTACGTGTATGTTCACTTTAAATCAATACACAGTGTTCAAGGTCTTTAGACAAAGAAGTCTATTGAGTTTCAACAATTTCCGATAATTACTGCCAGAGTTATGCTTGTGGACGCTCTAGAGGCTAAAATTAGTATCTGATTGACTTTATATTTATACACACTGTTTACAGTCATGATATGAAGAAGCCTATTGATTTTCAATAATTTTCTATAATTACTGTTGGAGTTATGGCCCTTGATCACCTTTCAAAATCTTGTGAAAGCTCATGCTAAAGTTAATATCCAATTGACTTTAGATTTAGACAGTGTTTATGGTAATGAGACAAAGACACCTATTTATTTTCAACAATTTCCGATAAATACTGCCAGAGTTATGGCCCTTGATCATTTTGAAAAGTCTTGTAGATGCTCTAGAGGCTAGGGGGGGTTGGATGGCTGAGTGGTTAGCACATTCGCGCTGTATCATAAGGTCTGTCATTCTGTCAACTGGCGTGGTTTCTATTCCCCAGTTGTACGTGACAAGGAGTATTGTCGTCTGTCTTACCTCGTGGATTTTCTCCAGGTCCTCTGGTTTCCTCCCACTGCTAAAGACTCCTACGCGCGAGCGAATTATTGAAATAAAATTGAACCATGTGTTAGTCCCGATATGACAGTTTGTGTCGAGTTCATGTTAAATCCCATTTCTCTTTCTCTCTCGCTCTAGAAGTTAAAGCTACTATCCCATAGACTTTAAATTTATACACAGTGTTTACGGTCATGAAACGAAGAAGCTTATTGATTTTCAACAATTTCCGATAATTACAGTCAAAGTTATGGCCCTTGATCACTTTGAAAAATCTTGTGGCCACTCTACAGTGTAAATTTACTATCCGATAAACTTGTACACGGTGTTTACAATCATGAGACGAAGAAACCTTTTGATTTTCAACTGCCCGAGTTATGGCTCTTGATCCTTGGGAAATCTTTTGGATGCACTAAAGGCTAAAGTTAATGTAAATTTGTACACACTGTTTAAGGTCATGAGACAAAATATTGTGTTGTAAATGTTTTCATTACTGACAAAAAAATATGTGACAACCCTTGTGGACTGACCTATGTTTGTGAAAGATGGGGGCAAGTGCATTTTCAAATTAATTCTGCAGCAACACTAGTTTCTAAAATAAAAGGCAATGCATTGACAATATTTCGGTATGCTTTTGTTACAGTTACTCATGGATGTATAATATCAACTATAACATTATACCACCCTGATGGACGAGAAGCTAAACCAACGTAAGTACATTATTATTACGAAAACTAAAATTATAGTCAAAGCTAAAAAAAATGTACTTATTCTCATCATTTGTTGTGAGATGTATTTTAAACACAAGTCTTGATTTATAACTAGATGAGACAGATGTTTAATCTGTGGATAGGTTCCTTTCTATACTCTTTAAACATATAAAAACTAGTAGTCTGTGTTCTAAGCAAGACAGCCACAGTGGCTCAGTGGGTATTATGTTGGCTTGCTAGCCAGGAGCTCAGGTTAGCTCCAGTTGTTGGCTGAGAAAGTTACTCAGGATGTTTCAGCAAAGCAAGACTGTATTGCTTTACAGTTAAGTCATTTAATTATAAAGGATAATAACCTAAACAAAGTTGAATAGATTGGTATGTAGCTACGTTCCTACATGGTAGTTTCTGCTGATATATATATAAAGTAACTAATAGCTCAATTGCTAAACCATATAGATTTACAAAACAACATCCTTTCATATTCTTACTGTTTTTGAAATCCAGTAAACTAAGGAACTATTAACTGTACAATAAATTATTAAATTGTAGCCCCAAATGGAAATTTTGTGGATTCAGATTGGCCGAAAAGTAGTTTCAAATTAATATAACTGCCTTATAAATTTCATGGGTTGACTCTGTATATGAATATTTTCTTTTTCTTGGTGCTAAAATGTCTTCACAGTGGCAGAAAATGCTAACCTTCTAAACTTTAATCCAGCGAATCTCCATGAAATCTTGCTTTTATATCTGAAAAAAAAAACAAAAACAAAACAAGATTAGTGAATGCCTTTGTAAGATAAGATAGAAGATTATATTTTAATGCTGGTCTGGTTGCTATGACTGTTTTGTCATTATCAGACTGGTCAAATTCCAAGTTCTTCAATAAGCGAATAACAATTCTACAACTCACACTGTCAGTTATATTGACAATAAAGTTATTAACCGATGGTGACATTACAAGATTTATTTCGACCTTATTACTGAATTGTAAAAATCTAGGTTGTTTTGAGAATTATATTCTGAAATAAATGTCTAAACTGCCATTTTCTGTATTAGAATAAAAGATTAGATACATAAACTTTCTGTTTCTGAGTATGGTACCTAGTTGAAGCTATAAACCCTGTGCTATGAGTAGCACAGGTGAATTTTGCTGTTGATCACTGGTCGGTCATCTAAACTATGCCCGTTCGGAGTTTGATCCCATATTTCAGATTTTTCTGAGATTTCCTCCCTCTGCTAGAAAGCCCTATGTACAAGTGAATTAATTCAAATAAAATATAGGGTGTTAGTTGAGATGATTGGACTTGAAGGTATGAAACCCATTTTTATTCTCTATGAGCAAACACACATGGATAGAAAGGAAGTCAGTGATTGTGTACAAAATGACCTGAGTCTAACCGCTAATAATATAATATTAATATATTATGATTGAATAATTGCTTATTAGTGTAACAACCGTCTATTTGCTTGTATGTCATATCTATTTTATACTTATCTAGTAATAGTAGTATACTGTATGAATTGCAATGTAATTGGCAACTTCAGATGTATTGAGGAATGAAAATGTCTGATGTTAACTGATGTATTATTATGGGTAGTTTGCTGGTTATTATGGAAGGATTTGTTGTATTTTAAAACCTAGAAGTGTTGTTTGTTGTCTTGTACAAAGACCTTGAATCTGTTGAGGATGTTTTTCTTTAACAAGTAGAGTTAGTGTCAAGCTGAACTTAAATATTTTGTACTTGTGACAAAAAACCCCAACAAACCCAGTAAAATATGCAGAAAATGTAACTTTGTCAAACTCTCCAAGGTTTAAAAAGAAAGAACTTGTAACCATTCTGAATTGTCTAGAAATATGACATCTTTGATTATTTTTTGACAATTGGGTAGAAGCATTGTCAAAGAATGTGTGAAAGAAGAGTTGCCGGCCATGCAGATTGTTTCTGAGATAGTTGAATTTAGTTCATTAAACTGAGAATAATGAACTGAAGTTATGGAATACTGTAGGAATACTGATATTAATTACGTCTACATATTTGAAATACATGGAGTTACACATGTTAATTCAACTACTTTTGCATATTGGAAATAATAGAATGAATGTTTCAACTGTGCTGGAACTGTGAAAGTTGGAAGTGATTAAAGCCGTTAATTAATTAGAAATGGGTTGCCTGTTTTCTAAACCTTGTCTTGAGTGGCCATATAAAAGGTAATGTTCTGTTTTCATTTCATAGAACACTGTCACTTCTTTTTAATACATTTAGGTGTCAACCATTGATTTGGGTAAAAAGAAATTGATTTAACAAACTTTGATGTGTTGATTTATTTTTCACATTGCAAAAAAATGTCCAGTGTGGATGTCACTGATTTTGAATTCAAACCATAGCAGTTTAAAGATGCATCGTGTAAGATTCAGATAAAAGCTGGCTGTTCTTGATATAATAATTGAAAAATAGATAATAGAAAATGAATTCATTAAAAGTTTTGACAAGATGTAGCATTGATTGTATTTTGTTCCCCACCTTTTGAAGAAAGCAGGGGATTATTAAAATGTGTCTGTCTGTCTGTCACACTTTGTGGGACACAATAACTTTCCTGCTAATTGTGCTAGAATGTTCAAACCTGGTATAGGTGTTATTATGTGAATACCTTCATACATTTGGAAGATGAGCATATTCTGCTTAGGGTAAGCAGAGATAAGCACTTTGATTGGTTGATGCTTTGGGACACAATAACTTTAGTTCTAATTAAGTGGGAGTGATGAAACTTCATTACATCAATACCCTGACTGAGCATTTTCTTCTCAGGCTAAGCAGAGCGATAATTAATTTGATTGGTTGAGACTTTAGAGCTCGACAACTTAGATTCTAATTGAGTGATAGATAGTGGTGAAACTTCATGTATATTTCATTACATTGTACATCAATACCTTAAAAAAGTTTGATGCTGAGCATTTTCTGCTTAGACAAAGTATAGACTTCAATCTGATTGGTCAAGTGTTTGAAACACAATAACTCTCCTTCTAATTGAGGTAGAATGTTCAAAATTGGTGTAGGTGTCTATTAGTTGAATGTCTTGACAGAGTTCGATCATGCATATTTTCCACTTAAGGCTAAGCAGTGATAAGCAATTTGATTGGTTGAGACTTTGGAACACTATAACTTGGGTTCTAATTGAGTGATAGCAATTCTTTATATCATTCAATGCATTGACTAAGTTTGATAATTTTCTGCTTAGGCTAAGTAGCGATAAGCAATTTGATTGATCAAGACTTTGGAAGATAACAACTCTGCTTTTAATTGAGGTATAGGTGTTCATTAGACAAATGTCTTGACCAAGTTCATAAATTAGTGTGAACATGTACAATTAAAAAGTGTACAGTTCTGTTAATGTCACTTTTTTTCCATTTATTTTTGTATACAAGAACTTTTAAGGAGCTCATTGTCTGTTGAACCAGGGTAAATAAATATCTTTATTACTTTTGAAAAAGATTGAAGTTTTAACAGCTAGTTTTCATTCTATGGCACAGTATATGCAATTGTTATTCCTCTTCATCTTATAGTCAAAGGTTAAAGCTCACTTTGTTAAACTCTCTCTGTGAAGGCTACGTATTTCATTAAAGATAAGACAAAACAGACATCTGAGATTAACTCTTAAAGATGCATTATGTAAGAGCCAAATCTACCTGTTGCAGGGTTTTTTTTGGCATCAAATGTTATATAAATTATTGATTAGACAATTATTCACATGTTGAGCCCATAATAAACTCTCTAGGTCATAGGACGGTTGTAATTTTGAACAGATTGAAACATGATCATCTTTTGTGAGAGCGGACCCAGGGCTCTTTATTTAGATAATTACATATCTATATAGTGCAAGGGTCCTGTTCATGAAGTGTATGTAAAGTTACATGTAAGTTGTCTAGGGTTGTCTAGTAAACAAGTTTTGTGAAACAATACCCAGAGCTGTCATTTAGATCATACTCAAGGAGATCTGCATAATTATAACCCCCATAGTTTTCATGAACCATCGCCCTGAACATAGGCTATTTGTGAATAATGTCTGCATTTGCTAAAATGTTTCTGAATGGTTGAAATCCGGCTGTTATCATATCTGGGCTAATCATTGGCGCCAGGATAATTGCACGGGGAAAACACAGGAAATGCTGAAAGTGGCTGGTTCTGGGGAAATCGTGCTTCCATGTTTTCTACAACATCTTCTATTATCTCGTTAACCTTTTTAATCAACGACTGGTCACAGGACCTTCTAGTTAAGATTTTTCCCAAATATGGCACATCTGGGTTCGTGGTTTTAGTCAAAAACAGCACTAATTTCGATCCATAGGTGGGTGACTCTACAAGGTACATGTAGGTAGATTTTAGGGTTAAAATAAAGGAACTCACAAGAATGACATTAGTTTGTACGACAATTCACATGGTTTGAGTGCTCGGCTCATAATGCCAATACTCAAAAATAAATCTTGAAGGAAAGCTGTTATAAACATAAATCTATACGACTATTCATAAAGTGAGCAAGCCATAATATCAGTTCCAGCCATGTCCTCTAACATCTTCAAGAAAGCTGGTAGTGTCTTTATTATGTTATCTATGGTCTGTGTTATGGACAACCATCTTATCCTGTGTACCTTTGAGGGTTTGATTTTGGGTTTGTCCAGGATATCCTGCCATATACACAGTTGTGATAACGATGGAAGAAGGTGGATAGGGTATTTAACATACTCTTGTATGACGATACTTCTGGCGATTTCTTGGCCATATCTACAATGGCTAGGGCCAGGCAATGAGCCACACAGTGGACCTCCACTAAATGTGAACAATGGTTCTTTAGTAGAGCTGCCACCCCACCTCGCTTCCCCAACTTAATGGCAGCCCCATCCGACCCTATACCATACAATTTATTAATATCTACAGACATGGATTTGAATAATACAATAATCGTGTTTGTTAATGAAGTGGCAGATGCATCATTCACATGCTTTA